CATTCATAAAATCTGCCTTAAGAAAGAGCCTTATCTTACTGACCCATTTATTCCATCATGAGTGTTTACTGCACATTCATCTGGATTCAGTGTTGAGTTCCAATGGGCAGGGCCTGCTAGGAGCCCCGCCCTGTTTGTCACCACCTGCTTCCATCCAATATGCATATTTTTATCTGAAAATTGGAGTCAAAATACCTGCTCTGCTTACTTCACAGAGAATGGAATAGATGATTAGGTTCAAAAAAAAAATTAAATAACTCTTCTGGCATGCCAGATGATTTTATGTGATGGTAGGAGAAAGACACTAAAATATTTATGCGACAGATAAAACCTAATCTATGATTAAGTGCTCAAAACAGCAATACATACAGAAAGTGCCAGGGGCTTTCAGAAAATGGGGGACTGGGGGGAGTGCCAGGATAGGCTGCTCCGGATAAGCAGGTACAGCTACCTAAAGACTGACTTAGTGTCTCGCAATGCACTTTTATCTCTAACCCAGATCTCCACCCGACATCTTCACCCTGTTCCCACTGGTCTCGTCCCCAGAGGAACCTGCCAAGCTCCCTGCTGGCATGAAGTCAGCCTTCAGTCTTCCTGCCATTTGGACTCAGGACCCAGCACTGCCCAGGGAAACCTGGTTGGCATGCCCCATCAGTCTGAGATCTGGTCTCAGGAGAGTTTTGCTCGTGGCCACTCCTAAAATTCCGTAATGCTCTGGTTTCTCAGACTGCCCTCTGCAAACCAGGAAGCCGTCCTGTCACAGGTCTCCCCACCGTCCTCACCATCTCCATCCTAATAGCTTCACTTACAGGGTTAAGTTCTCCGAAAAGAAAACACATACTCACATTGCAACCACGTGACTTCACGGGCTTGGAAATTCTTTCCAGTTTTCCTAAGGGTATCTTGTGATACTCAATACTTTTACTTTTTCCCAATAGAGTGTCTAAAAGAATGTAACTTAGGAACCCCTAGATCGAGGAGACGCACAGGGCACGAGGTACAGAAAGGATGAGTGTGTCTGTGGCCTCTCCGGACCCCACTCTTCCCAAATCTTCATATATTCACCAGTCTCAAAGCTCTTGAAACCCCATTCTTTGGGTCTTTTACAGGCTTTTTATGGAGGCAGAGCTGGGAAACTGAACCTGTCACCCCCAATTGGCAATGACTCACTTTCTGAAAATTGCACTTCCCTGATCAGATCAAGGCTCCCTACTGATTTATAGTTCTGGGGTGATGATTCAGAGGTGAAGAGGTTACCCCCCAAAATATGTGGAATGGGCACACTAGTTATTTTGAACTGAGGGTATTTGCACATACAGGAAGGGCTTTCTAATATCCCATTTTCCACCCAAAAGTCAAATTCCATGAGAGGGGTGTCCTCCCTGGACCAAGAGGACAGAAGACTACTACTATTGCCAGAATGAACCTATTAAAACAACCTGCTAAAATAGCCCTAATCATCTACTAGACGCAGGTCGGCATATCTTCTAGTCCCTGCCCCACAATTTACCACCCCCCCAAACTTCTTTTTTTCCTTTGTCCCTTCAATCTCTAAAATTTGTCATTTTTTGTTAAAATGGTATCTAATTTGTCATGCCTATCTGCTTCTCTGAATTTTTATTTCTTATATAGGCAGGACTCTGTATACACACAGAAAATTTACATTGAATAAAATACGAATGTTCTTCTCCTGTTAATCTGTTCTTTACTCAGTTTAATTTTCAGGCCCAGGTACAGAACCTAACAGGGTGGAGAGAAAGTCTTTCCTCCTCTGTGATTCCAAGGACAAGCTCATCTGACTATCAAAGACTGTAATGATGTGACACCAGCCAAAATTCAGAAACGCTCCCATCAAAATGACTTTTCTTCTAAAAGTATCCATCAATGATCATTCCCCAAATACATTTTTTTCTTGATTGCCATACTTTATGCACTTACTTTAATTTGCTTAAGCAGGTGTTATGATTATAAATTGGCTCTTGATTATCCACAGAGGTATTATCTTCCAATGCTTTCTGAAAATAACTAAGCAGAAGCGGTAACTGGGTTGTTTATTTTCCTTCACTTTATTCTGCTTGTTCTCTTACTTTTCTGGTTCCTGTGGCCTATGCGGGATGGGGGGTTAGAAGCTGAAATTCTCCATCCCCTGAAAGAATGACAGAATAAACTTAGGAGGCAAGAGAGCTCCTGGCAGCTTTGCTCGAGGTGCTGGGACCATGAGCGACAAGGGGGCTCAAGCAGGATGGCTTCCCAGAGGAGGGAGTCCCAGCAACCTTGTGTTTGGCTCCAGGCTGCAGGTTCAGAGCTGTTCGTTAGTTTATCATGTAATGCCTTCCCAAGCAGCCATCGAGAAGCCACCTTGCAGAGAGAGCTGAACAATGTGGGAGGATTCTTCATTCCACTGTCTCCTCAGTAGTGTGAAAATGGAGGAAGTGGCTTGGTGCCAACAACTCCCAGTGCTGAGAGAGCCACCTGGGCACCTCGGCCAAAATGTCCTGTCTTCTTCCTACGAGGGTGGGGACCTGTGCTCCGTTCACTGAGACACACGTTGTGACCAGTGTCTCTATGCTGGGGGCCTGTCTTAGTCCCTCTGGGCTGTTACGGTAATACACCACAGACTGGGCAGTTGAACAGCAGACCTGCTTTTCTCCCAACTCTGGAGACTGGACGTCGATGGTCAGGGTGCAGGCAGATTCAGCATCTGGTGAGGACGGCGTCTTCTCCCTGTGTCCCCGCCTGGAGGAAGGGGCAGGGGGCTCTCTGGACCTCTTCCATCAGGATGCTGATCCATCCTGGGGGCTCCACCTTCATGGTTTTGTGACCAGAGGCTCCACTCCCGACACCATCCCACTGTGGTTAGGAGTCTACAACTGAACTGTGTGGGGATACAACAGTTTACAGCAGGCCCTGTGAAACAGCCCTGAGAACAAGCCTGGAGGCCCCGTGTGAGAGACAGGGATGGGGGTGTGAAGCCAGCTTGGCCAGGGGGCCACCCGCCGGCCTAGAGGGGGTGCAGGACCACCTGAGAGGCTGGTGTGCCTTGGGGGCTCAGCCCCACCTTCCAGTTGGTCACTCCTGTGACTGGCCTTTTATTTCCAGAAACGTGCTCACCTTTTCTTCTGGGGTCAGGCTGATCAGCTGCAGGGCTCCAAGTACAGGAGGCCTGCAGGCATCGAAACAATGGGAGACCACCCATCCATAGCAGAGCAAGGAGGGGAGAGAGACCAGGAAGCCTAGTCCAGGCAGTGGGAAGACTGAGGTCACAGCTTCCCCTGGGGCCTGTGGGCATGTCCTCAGCGAGGGCAGGAGACCTGAGGCCATCCGGCTGTGACCTGGTTTCTAGAGCATCCCCACGACCCTCTGCTGAGCCTTCCTTGTAACCTATGGAGTAACCTCCTTCCTCACAGGGGTCCTCACGGGCTGCCCCAGGCAAAGGTCAGTCCAGTGGGAGAGAGGGAAAAAGAGAGGCTGGGAGGTGGGCCGCTTGTGTGCAGTTTATTCGCTGGTTTGTGGAGGGAGAGGTTCCGAAGGTTAGAGGGGGAAGAGGTGGGAGAAAGTTCTAGAGAGAGAGAGACAGCAAGAGAAACAGCCAGCACCCACCATGGAGGACAATAAGATTTTAAAATACATCAATGCCTGGATTCAGCTTTAATTAGTAAAGACGGTGAATTTCTCACAAATCCTGAGATGGAGTCAAGGGCCATCTTATCTGGATGTCAAGTAAAAATGATGTCTCAGGCTGGGGGACTGATGATCATTTGGATTATACTAAAATTTATATCACATTCTTATTATAATGACCAAAATCTGAAAATACAGAATGCATTTGGTATATCCTAAACACCAAGTCCAACCCACTCCAGTACTCTTGTCTGGAAAATCCCATGGATAGAGGAGCCTGGTAGGCTGCAGTCTATGGGGTTGCTGGGAGTCAGACACGACTGAGCTACTTCACTTTCACTTTTCACTTTCCTGCATTGGAGAAGGAAATGGTAACCTACTCCAGTGTTCTTGCCTGGAGAATCCCAGGGACAGGGGACCCTGGTGGGCTGCCATCTATGGGGTCGCACAGAGTCGGACACGACTGAAGCGACTTAGCAGCAGTAGCAGCACCAAACACCAAGTCATTGAAAACCTATGGCAGAAGGGGGCTTGGATGGGAGGGACAGGGGACGGAGGTAGCAGAACACACCCTTCTTGTGTCCACCAGGCTGCAGCCTGACCCCAGGGGCTCTGGGGTGAAGGTCAGCCTGCAGTGGCCCCACCAAGGGGACAAGGGTATCTGTATCTGGCCTCAGGAAGGAGAATTTCAGAGCCCTCAGCTCCGCACCCTGCAGCCCTTCCGGGGTGGGGAGGAGGGAACGACAACCCCACAGAAGAGTCTGCAGAAGAGCATGGACTATAAAACACACCTGGGAGCTGAGACTCAGATTTCATTTTATAATGATCTCCTTGCATTCTTTTTGTTTTTTTTTAAGATTTTTTTGATGTGGACTATTTTTAAAGTCTTTATTTAATTTGTTACAGTATTGTTTCTGTTTTATGTTTTGGTTTTTGGGCCCCAAGGCATGTGGGATTTTAACTCCCTGACCAGGGTTTGAACCTGCTCCCTCTGCACTGGAAGGCGAAGTCTTAACCTCTGGACCACCTGGGAAGTTCCACCACTGCATTCATTTTTAAAGGTTACCTTGTGGAATTGAACAAAAATTATAGAAAATGTCAGTGAATCTTTATTTTCAAATATTATTGAATCATCTGGGACATCAAGCCTGAGAAATAAAGGGGTGGTTATTTTTGTCACAGTAAGTTTTTTTCAACCTTTAATTACCAATTACTGTAAACACTGAACGGCATGTGGATTTGATTTTGCTAATGATTTCAGGAAAGTAGCGATATTAGGTACACAAATAGAAGGACCGATTTAGAACTTAAACATATCATGAGAGACCTACACATCGGGGTCAAGTAAAACAGAAACAATTACGTAAAAGTAAACATACCATTCTCTGAGCGGCAGGGCCAAGGTCACGACTGAAAACACGCGCCCTGGAGCAAGACTAACCCTGTTTTCACATCTGCTCCTAGACTCCTCCTGACTGGGGGACCTTCATGTAAGAAGGGAGAGAATAGTATCTATTCCAGGGCTGTCGCTGTGGTTTATGTTGGACAGTAAATGAGAGCACTGAAGTGAAGGGCTCAGAATACATGCATATGCTGAAGAAATGCTGCTCAGCAAATGGAGGCATCTCTCCCCCAGGAAGCAGCCATGTGGGTGATGGAGGTGGGACCAGCACGCTCTTGTCACTGCAGTGATGTCATAACCAAAGCCACAGGCAGCAGAGTTGTTATGTATAAGGCAGACTGCGTGTAGTCAGACACTTAGATGGGAATTTTATATCTCACATCTTCTAATCCTCACTACAGCCTGAATATCAGGTGCTATTATCTCCACATTTCTGCCAACCGAGACCCAGGAAAGTTTAGTCATCCAATAAATGGGTAAAATAGAATTTGAAGCTAAGTGTAATACTTTTGGATGGAAATTGAAAATTGATACTTGTTCAAGGAGGGGGATCATGGAACTAGGGCATCCTCCAGAAACTCAGCATAACCCCATAGGGTGGTAGAGGAAGGCTCTGGCCATAGACGAGTGAACTCAGTCTCAGCCCCTCTCCTCTGCCTGGTGGGCAGGGATCCACCTGAAAGTTCCAGCCCTCTCGGTAAGCAGTTGGTTCCCATGGGGACCAGCCCTCATGCTTAGGGGACCTAGGGACTTCCCAAAAGTCACCTGAGTAACACAATAATGCACACCTTTGTTGCTCAGATCCCTTAGGGTGTCCCAAGGGCTTTGGGGGCTCTGCGCCAATGGACCCCTACATTGCTGTTCAGTCACTCAATCATGTCCGACTCTTTGCAACCCCATGGACTGCAGCACACCAGGCTTCCCTGTCCATCACCAACTCCCGAAGCTTGCTCAAACTCATGTCCATTGAGTCATTGATGCCATCAAACCATCTCGTCCTCTGCCGTCCCCTCCTCCCCCTGCCCTCAATCTTCCCCAGCATCAGGGTCTTTTCTAATGAGTTAGCTCTTTGCATCAGGTGGTCAAAGTATGGACCCCTCCATACATACCAAGTATGTACCTCTCGTTGTGAATTGTGACATCACAGTATCACTAGTCAAAGACTTTGAGCTGGGATGAGAAGGGTCCCCACCCAGGGTTCCCCCAGAACCAGAGTGAAAATGAGGGAACATGGGCACCAGGAAATACAGTCCAAGAGTAACTGACTTAGTGTCAGTGATGCACCCAAGTCTCTCCGTTCAGTCCACATAGGGCTCCCCTTCACGAACTGAACCTCTCTCTGGGTAAAGGAGCTTTACAGAAGGTCAACGAAATCAGGCACATGAGCTCAGCATGGCATCAGAAACAGCATACTCCTCAGGAAATAGTGACTATTTGGTCATTAAAACCTCTGCCACCACCTGGCAATTTCCTTACTCTATGTTATCCCATCTTATTTTGCTGTCCTACTTTTCAGGCTCTGAATCTGATATCTAACCAAAGATAGCAAGTTCCAACATCTACATTCTACAGTTTAGCCCTTTATGTTCACATTGTCTAAACTACTCGCAGCACACAGAAGTGTTCAGTAAATCCAGGGTGAATTAAGGAGATTTTCATGTTAATAGTATTAGCATTTATGATCTTTTTTTTTGCACTAGGCTCTGTGCTAAGTGTTCTACATGCTCAGACTCATTTAATCTCTGCTCATAGCCCTGAAACGTAAGCACTCTATGAATGAAAGACGTTTCTTGATGTGTTGCAAGGATGCTGCTTTTGTTGCCATAGCAACAGAGGTCTGGAAATACAAATCCAATTTTAGAAGGCATAATCACTGTTTTGCTCCTCTTTTCTGTCACAATTTTAATGTGTTGTTAAGGGTATTCATATAAAGATAGCTGCAGAGGGAGGCCTGCCCCTGGGAGTTTTCTGTCATTAATGTCAGGTTTCCTACAACTGAAAGTGGATGTTCTAGAACCTAGACCCTCAGAATCCACTCAGGTCTCCCCTTCATGAACTGAGATGCACTGACCTCAGAGGTTCTTGGAACATGCTCAAGGCATATGAAACCAAAGGCAGAAAGCTGGTGTATATTTAGGGATCTTGGCTTTAATTCAATTGTTAAATGAAAATGAGTGAAAACATTAGTCTTATGCTGTAATTGGCATGCTATCTCATGGAGAAGTCAATGTTTGCAGGAATGTTTCATATAAGTTTGGAGTTTGAAGCTGCTGCCATGGATTGTTCAGACTTCCATGGTTTCTGCCCAGGTTCTTTGGGAGCCCAGAATGGGTCCCAGGAATCTCTGGTGTGCAGGCAGTCTCATGTCTAAAAAGAAACTGTATCTAAAAATGTCCTTAGCAAGAGGTAAGGACTGTACCCTTTATATTGCACTGTCTACTGGAGCCTGTAATAAGTCTTGGATAGTCATTCAGTGCAGAATGAAAGCATAAGTACAGTTTTGTAAAAAAAAAAAAAAAGATGCTGAAGAGATACATACAAATTTACAGAAATATATATGTATGTGCTACAGATTTCCAAGTTTCAAAAGGTAATTGAAAGTCAAAATGCGGTAGTCCATTTTTCTTACATTTTTGTTTTAGTAAAATATGCATCTTGCAAAGTTTACCATTTTAAAGATTCTTAATAGTGATTTTTAATATTTTCAGTTCAGTACTGTTAAATACATTCACCTGTGGTGGAACCATCAGCACCATTCATTCCCAGAACTATCTCATCTGCTCAAAATGAAGTCCCAGCAAATACACACACACACACTGCTTTTGTTTGCAACAGCTATCACAGTAAACACTGCATGAAGATTCTTGAAACACTCATGTATATACACATCCGTCTCTCCTATTATGGGATGGTCATATCAGATGAATTCCAAGGCATTGAAGACCTGTTCTATGGAAATGCGTGTCATGTGAAACTTAGAATAAAGAAGTGACTTCTACTCTGTTACTGCACTAAGGATTATTATGTGCACACAAGTCAGTAGATATCAAGCTTGAAATTTGAATAAATACTGCATGACTGGGGAGAAAAGCAAAGCAGCTGTGTCTAAAAGGACCCGGAAAATGAAGTGGGTGGAGCTGCCTACCATAACAACTTCCAGTAAAACTATGGTCCAGTCTCTCGGGTTCATGTGTTAATCTCAGGCTCAAAATGAGTTCCATGAGATTACTGGACTGGACATTACTTTGCCAAAAATGGTCTGTCTAGTCAAAGCTGTGGTTTTTCCAGTAATCCTGTATGGATGTGAGAGTTGGACCATAAAGAAAGCTGAGTGCCAAAGAATTGATGCTTTTGAACTGTGGTGTTCAACACTTGGACTGCAAGAAGATCAAACCAGTCCATCCCAAAGGAAATCAGTCCTGAACATTCATTGGAAGGACTGATGCTGAAGCTGAAGCTATAATACCTAGGCCACCTGATGTGTAGGGCTGACTCATTAGAAAAGACATTGATGCTTGAAAAAATTGAAGGCAGGAGGAGAAGGGGATGACAGAGGATGAGATGGTTGGATGGCATTACTGACTCAATAGACTTGAGTTTGAACAAGCTCTGGGAGATGATGAAGGACAGGGAAGCCTGGTGTGCTGCAGTCCATGGGGTCACAAAGAGTCACATGACTGAGTGACTAAACAACTGGGTTAGTGGTAAAGAACCTGCCTGCCAATGCAGGAGGCATAAGAGATGCAAGTTCGATCCCAGGGTTGGGAAGACTCCCTGGAGCAGGGCATCCAACCAGCTCAGTATTCTTGCCTGGAGAATCCCATGGACAGAGGAACCTGGCAGGCTATAGTCCATGGGGTCACAAAGTATTGGACACCACTGAAGCAGCTTAGCACACATTCTTGCATGCTCTGCTACTAATACTGTTATAATTCTACATTCTAATAATCTCATGTCTCACTTGCCTCCACAGGTTGGTCTTACGACTTTTGTGGGTGATGCTTTAAGTGGGGAGAAGATGGAACCACCCAAGCAGTGGATCTATAGCATGGCAGTGGCCACCCAGCATTAATCTACTGCTGCTGCTGCTGCTAAGTTCTTCAGTTTTGTCCGACTCTGTGCGACCCCATAGACAGAAGCCCACCAGGCTCCTCCATCCCTGGGATTCTCCAGGCAAGAACACTGGAGTGGGTTGCCACACCCTTCTCTGGTGCATGAAAGTGAAAAGTGAAAGGGAAGTCGCTCAGTCATGTCCAACTCTTAGAAACCCCTTGGACTGCAGCCTACCAGGCTCCTCCGTCCATGGGATTTTCCAGGCAAGAGTTTTGGAGTGGGGTGCCATTGCCTTCTCAGCAGCATTAATCTAGAACTTGTCAAAGGCAGCTGTGAAATGTTGTTGCTGTTTTTCAGTTGTCAAGTCATGTCTGACTCTTAGTGACCCCATGGACTGCAACATACCACACTTCCTGGTCCCTCACCATCCCCCAGAGTTTGTCCAAGTTCATGTCCATTGAATTGGGGCACCACCCAACCATCTCATCTTCTGTTGCCCTCTTCTCCTTCTGCCTTCAATCTTTCCTAGCATCGTGGTCTTTTCCATTGAGTCAGCTGTTCGTATCAGGTGGCCAAAGTATTGGAGCTTCAGATTCAGCCTCAGACCTTCCAAAGAGTGCTCAGGGTTTATTTCCTTTAGAATTGACTGGTTTGATCACCTTGCTTTCCAAGGAACTCTCAAAAGAGTTAGGAGAACCGGGTCTAAAAAATCATAGAACTAAATTCAGTACATATTTTTGAAGGAGAATAATTCTGATTCCAGAATTAGCTTTTATAATTTTTTTTTCTTTCCCAAATGGATGAGCCTCTGACTTGTCAGAGGACTTTTCATTCATTACAGATTCATTGTTCCATCTCCTCTGGAGGACAGTCCATGAGAGTTAGAAAGAAGTGACTTGCATTACTAAGTATCTCTATTTTAATAGCAGTATGGCTGGGAGAACATTAAAGCTAAGCTAATGACAAAAAATTGTATTTCCCTACTTTCGAATTATCTGCTTATGTCTTGAGGCTGTGTCTATATAAGGACATTCTTACTGATAGCTATGAACTAAATTCTACATATTTTATAACATTTATAAAAAATCCTGTTCTCACCAACCTGTCTCCCTAAAATCTCAAGAAACTCTGTCAGAAACACTAGATTTTAAGTAAAACTGAAAGCAATTCTGATTCAGAAAAAAAAAGAATGTATATAACTAGA